GTCCCCTGCGTGCCATCTCGTTGCTCTCGTCGCGCACGAGACAGCGCGAGACTAGTCCAGTTTGAAAAATGGCGGCGGTGAGGCAAACCAGCGGAAGTGCTACGCGCATTGTACGGGTTCGCTTTACCATTGAAGATGACATCAACCTCCTCAAAGAAGTCAACGCGACGAACACTTTCGAGCACCCACAAAGATGGGTGTCGATAGCCAAGAACGTTGGCGACGTCGTCGAACCCAAAAAAAGTGCTTACCGTGCAGTCGGTACAAAAAAAAAAAAAAAAAGTAGACAAAATATTTACACAACAGGCACACGGAAACTCGCACTTCCGTAACAAAGTGAGGATAATCGGGGCTTTGGATTGGTTTGACCAAATACCCGCCTTGGATTGCTTGAAGAAGTTTACAGGAGCACTTCTAGATGGCGCTACAAGTCTTTACGTATGCGTTCTTCTTCCGCTGTACTAAAAGTGCGTATTCGACGCGCTCCGTAACGTTCCGTCGACGCAACGTTAACGCTAACGTAGGGGGTTTGCGTTTGCCCCTATACGTATTACTAAAACTCACTAATAGCGGAAACGCTTAAGCATCAACGGAAGAAGAAGTGTGAGTAGCGTCCCGTTGCCGATGGCGCTTCCCAAAGGAAGAACCTCCGGCTGCTGGGATTATACTTAAAGTGCTGATCGCCGATCGTAACAGTGACAGGAACCTAAGTGCGTGAAACGCTGTCGAAATTGTCTACATTCTAATTTGTCTGTCTCAGTGTTTTCACAACGTTAGTGCATAGTCAAAAGTGGAAACAGCGCAAAAACATTAACAAAGAACGAGTACAAGAAGTTCACGGACACAGCGCTGAACTATCAATTGAAAGTTCCATTTTCAAGCGAATCAGAAAATAAACACCGGAAGCAGAGAGGAACGAACCAAACAATACACACAAAAAAATACAACCCGATAACGAGACTTCTACTACGTCATATCTCTTTCACACGTGCTTGCCACTATTCTTGATAAAAACGACTTCGTCAACCCCCAAGTGCACCGACGGTTCGCTAACATATTACCCTTCCCCTTTTGATAAAATAAGAAAAGGCCTCTTAAATCCCTCTGGCGGTCTTATTTTTGTTACGCGCCAGGATCGTCAAGTCATTGAATAAAGGCACGCAGCCTAACCTACTGCAATGTACCGCTAAGTGACCAGCGGGGGAGGAACGGAGAGCAAGGGAATGCTTCCTCGCCCTCACGTTCACGCACCTCCCTGTTTGTTGAATGTATACCCTTTCACATGTGAAGGGGACCTTTTTTGACACAATTGTCAAGGGGGTTGGTACAAAAGGCGAATACAATCACCTGACTGGGTCCCAACCCCTGTAACAACACTGAACAGCAGGGTACAAATTCAGAGAGAAATATAAAATAAAAAGCCAGCTCACAGCACAAGTTAAGAAAGCAGTTATTTCACCCCAGCTAAAGACTCTTCAGCTTAAAAATAAGATTTTAAAAAATCACACTGATTAATAACATAACCCACAAAGTATGTGCACTACCAACATTATATTATTCCCCTAAGGATTTTTTTTAAAATGAAACATGGAAGTGATGTTTTGGGACATTTCATAGAGGCACTAATGTTTGTTTAGAATATCTGTATTCTGGTTGGATAATTCTTGAGTACCATAATTAGTTCCCCTTTTGGTTTTGGAAACTGCTGTATACTCAGGCTGTAATTTGCTTGCTCGTGTAGGTACGTCTCATGAAAGATGTCAGGGTCAGTGTTAATGTAGTATAAATTGAAACCTCCACCTTTAGGCAAAAATGTTATCTACCGTAAGTATTTTATGCTTATTAAGACTATAGGAAGTCGATTGAAACCGGGGCAAATCATCAATTAGCCGAACCGCGCGTTTTTGTAATGTAAGTAATTGCTAAACATTATTTCCTGTGGTCTTCCACCACACCAATAAACAGTAATAAAGCGGATCGAGTGAATCATAGATGTATTGATTTGTCATTTTAACCAGTTTGTAAGAAATTGTCGGCACCTAAAAAGTAAGCCCATGGATTTAGAAATCTCTTTTCGGAGAACGATTACTAGCTTGGGCAGTCCAATAGAAATTTTTGTGGGAACGAACACCAAGAAATTTATAATTCCAAGCGTTCAATTATGGAGTTTTGGAAGGATATAATATTTGTGTCAGTAATGGGTTTGTTTTTTGCTCTAAAAATGATATGCTTAGTTTTCGATGTAAATTTAGTTCTAACTGATTTGCAACTAACCACAAGTGAAATTGGTCCAGTCAAGTGTTTGTCTCATTTTATTTTTATACTTAGCAATGCCATCTCCGTTGATTTACCTTTCTGAAATCCATATCGATTGTTTGTAATAATATCACATTTAACACAGAATTCACTAAACGTTTGTAAACAATGCGTTCGACTATTCTTGAGAAAATCGGAAGTACCTGGGATTGGTCTATAGTTACTCAGGTTATTCTTAGGACCGCCATTATGAATTCCACAAGCCTTTGTTATTTTCAATTTTTCTGGAATGGTACCAGTGCTTAAAATTGGGTTAAAAATGTGGGAAAGGTGTGTACAGATTAAAGAGCAAGACTTCTTTCATTGGCTTAGAACACAACCCATCTTTACCACAGGCGGCACTGTTCCCTAAGGATTTAATAATCATGTTTACTTACATTTCACTATACTTTGTCTCATCCTACGATGGACGAAATGCCAAAGCCACGGGCCACCAGGTCCGATCACGTTCCACGCTACACTATGACATGGCTAGCATTGATTAGGAGTGGACGAATAATGCTCCGAAACTAAAAACGCTGCAACATTTCTATAGCTTCAACACTGCAAACAGCCTCTTTTTTGCAATGTAAAATTGCTGAGTCACTCAGTGCTATTTCGATTCGAACCACTGTCCGCCCATCCCCATCGGTGATCCGAGACGCGAGGACTGATACGTGCATCAAAGCGCAATACGCAATTTCAAAGTGGCTCGTGATTGGATCTGGAGGTCCGTAGCTTTTGCCAGTCCATCGTAGGGTGAGACGAAGCATAGGGGGTGCTAGCAAACTTGAATTATCTAAATTTAACACGTAACACAAGATTCCCAGCTAGGCATACTCGTGGTAGGTAACATTGAGGAATCCGATACTAAAACCTGAGAGTTAAATATATTTGCAAGAGATTGGCCGGAGTAGGTCACCTGCTCGATTGTAAGTTGTTTTTGGACAGCAGCACGGGGTTTGTAAGTTCATTTACAGCCTGCCATATGTTCCTTGGATTATCATAATCGAACAAAAGTTATTTTTGTAGCTGCGAGCTTTCGCGTTTTTAATATCCGCTTTTAGTTTGTTTCTCACCTTCTTGAATTATTATAGTATACCAATATCTCATGTTGTAATGAAGTTTTCGTACAATTTATTACGTTTCCTTAAGCGTTTATATATCGTACATGAAATCCAAGGTTTTCTTGATTTTTATATTCTTGCCACGGAAATTCCTGTTTATAACACCTCTGTATAAGGCCTAGAAATACATTATATGATTTATCGGAGTCTGTCTCGATTACTACGGTTTCCCAGTTTACATTCGGTACCAAAGAACAGACGAGCCCAATCGAGGTATTATCAATTTCCCTATATAGGACATGAGTGATATTAATAGAATTACTCTTTAAATTTGTTGGGTCGACAATAAAGCTAAATATTCGTAAGTGGCCACTTGGATTACAAGGTAAGACCAGCAGCCTCCCTATGACAGACTGGTACACAACCTCCAGTGCGCTTCGGACAAAATGAGTACGGTGGTTAACAACACAGTGGAAATCACTGCTCCTCCCTCGGTTAACAGCAGAGCACAGTCGTGACAACTTCGGGGGTGCTGAAAAAAACAGTGGCACGTTATAATTGTCAGCCCTCGCTAGACCTGATAGGAGAAGGCGTTGACATAAGGCACCACCACCGGTCTGGTTGTCGGGTTTTGTCTAACCTTGGGGCTGAGTCGACCCCCAGACACCTTTATCAGGGACTCTTCTAGAAACACCCACAATCAAGGTCATAGGGTATATCGCCGATGTCAGACTAGACACCTGTAACAATAGAACGTCCTCACACCTATGGTGACATGACTTCAACACAAAAGCCCGCATACGCGACGTAGTTATCGCCTGCTTCACAAGTTTAGAGTGCGATGAATCGTTAGACAAAACACCCTTTTTTGAACGCGGCTCAGAGGATCAACATCGGATTGTATTTTTTGTGTCTTGTTTTGTTCTTTCCTCTCTGCCTCCGGTGTTTATTTCCTGGTCCACTTGAAAATTAAACTTTCAGTTGATCGTCTGCACCTTTTCACATACCGCGCGGTCGGTCATGAGGAAGCCTTAAAAGACGGTTCGGTACGAAAAAGCAATGCGTGCTAAGACAATCAGGGTGTGGTTTGGCCTGCACATTGTCGCTACGTATAACGCAATTTTGATCCAAACCGCCTTTTCAGATCACATCTTTTTTTTTCGTCTACTGCCTGCGCCGCGGAAAAGGGCACGCGCGCACGTTTTGCCCTTTTAAATGACATGCGAATATCAGTTGCTTTGGTTTAGCCATGAAACGACACCGAGTTCTATAAACGTTCCAAAAAACGGGTTCCTATTCTGAAGCGCGCAGCGCGATAAGCTCATTTGGTAGCATCGTTGTGGAGGTCAGTTTAAACTGGAACTTAGGGTTCGAACAGAGGGCGGCTTATTTATCCGGTTCTGGAAAACAAGCAGTGCGCGCTCTACTAGAGAGAATCCACGGTATTTTCTGTGTATGAGATGGGAAGGCGAAAATTATCGGAAGGTGTACATACGTGTCATGTCGCTTACTTGGACCGAAAGGGGTTTTCTGCAATAAAGCTTTCTAGAATGCCAATGCTGTTTGGCAGGATAACTGACGCACAATCGGAGCAAACAATGCAAACTGCACAACGGGAGCGAACAATACACACGTTACCTCATATCGGTGGAGCGATCCGTGCCGGCGCCGCTTTGAGTCTTATTCTTGTAGTATGCGCACCTGTTTTCAGAACGCCGACGAAAGGCCAGCTGCCGAAAGAAAAACGGAGCTGACTTCCCTCGACAACAGCCGCGACTGGACTGAAAGATCTCTCTCCGCGAATGCCGTCCGGCAACCTTCGACGCCGACATTTTTTTTTTTTTTTTTCATTCTTTGTTCGTTTGTTTGGGAAGGCCTTGAGTACGCCTCCACGTCAGGTGATCTGACGTCCTCGTTGACGGCGATCACGAGTGCTTCCAGGTCTCCGGGAAAGCGATAGCGCGGCGCGTTTGTATGTTCTAAGCGTTGAAGTGAAATTAAGGAGAAAAAAAAAAGAGTCAATCGTGCACGCGCGCTAGGCGCATTTGTTGCTGACTCTTAACGTATAGGTGAGGGGAGAAAAGTGGGGGTGAGTCGCCCGCGTTTGCAACCGTTTTGACGGTCGGCAGCGTGCCAGCTCGGTCAATGACTCTTTGTTTCGTCAACAACGGTGTGCTGCTGTCCGGCTGGATGACACCTTTGAAGCGCCGGTATAAGAACGACTATGGACTTCCCAAATGATGCAGGTCTTTGAAACAGTCTTTTTTTTTCTTTTTTGAATTTAATTTGTTAAAAGCGCGCGCACACACACACACAAAAGAAGGTACATGCTAAAACAAAAGACGAGATGATTGAGGAATGGAAGAGAGACCAATTTTCCACCCTGTCGCCAACGCAAAGGGACGGAATTTCTCCCGTCTCCATAGACATCTTCGATGAACTGGCACCGGAACTGCCCTGAAGCCGGAAAATGCACAGCGCTGCTAGGTCATAGAGCGCGAAGTTGGTGCAACATCCAGGTCAAACTGCGCCGTGCCGGCGCACCGCGGCGGCCGCCACTATGCGTCACCTCGTGTTTCGTTCGTTTTTTCTTGCGTACGTCCGCGCGCGGTGCCCGTCTCCTGTCGATTTCTCCTACTTTTTTACTCGCAGATTTAGCGGTCACACAAAAACGAACATTGCGGCCGTGATTGTCGATGGGGTCACGAAGCGGCTGACAATTCTAAGAGTATATTTCGCCCATAATTGTTGGTTCAAGAAAGAGGACTGCCAGAAAATAACCGCACCTTAGGTGTTATCCAAACGCCTCATAACGCTTTCCGCGAAGTTTATAACTTTCGGGCGTCTCTTGCCAACGCAGCGATCACCGGTAGAATCGCGGCGATGGTAAGAAGCTCGTCGCCCTCGCTGCCAGAAGAGCTGAGAAATTCATCGCGTGCCGCAAGGTCGCCATCTTGATAGACTGCGCGTCTACTATTCCCGCCGTCTCCTCAATTCCCACTCGTGGCCGCAATGCCCCATGGGACTGCACCCCGGCGCACCGTCGATTTTTTCGGTGCGCGTTGGTGCCATAGAGATTTTACAATAAACGCTACAGGTTCAGGTGGCGCTAGTGCGCTTTTGCATTTTGAAGCAGACAGCAAACAGTCTAAATTTGACTTTCGGTAATGCATTCCTATGGGAAAACGCAAATGCGTTTTCCCTTTCCGCTCGATTATATGACCAGATTTTGCTTAGTGTTGTGACAGAATAAAAAGTTTGGAACGTTTTACAATCGGATGTACAAAATACGTGTCAGAGCGTTTTTCTTTAAAATTCATGGCGTTGAACACTGCGCTGAAATAGCCCAATACACATGTATATTACTTGTTGACGTTTTAGACTGCTATTATAGCGCACGTATTTACGCATACAGTCAGTGCTACGAAGCACACAGAGTGAATCAGCGTGACGAAACAAAATAACGAGGCTAATATATGCCAAATCAAACAATCCAAACAGACAATAAGAACGAAGCATAGAGTTATGGAACGGAGAACACGTACTGGATTAGTAACAAACTATGCATTAGTAACAAACTGCGTTTCCTTCAGCTTAAATAAACCCTACGCACTTTTTAATTGCTCTTTTAGAGCGCAGCTTTTAGGCGCCCGTTTGTGGGCTGAGCGGCGTCTGCGTAACCGCGTGTTGCATTATGCGACGTTTGACATCACATGTGACGTCACAAAGGTAACGCTTACGAGGGTAACCCTCACGAGGGGAGGGTAACCCACACGGGGTAACCCTCACGGGGGCTACCCTCACGAGTGTAACCCTCATGAGGGTAACCGTCGCGAGGGTAACCCCCGCGAGGGTAACCCCCGTGAAAGTCACCCTCGTGAGGGACACGAGAGTAACATCAAAATGTTACCTTCGTGAAGCCAGGTGTGACGTCATTATCGGAAACACGTGACGTGTTACGTCATTTGGCGTACGCCGTCACACGTGACGTCACGCGCGTCTAACATTGCCAATATTCTCACTAAGTTTAGCGGGGAAGGAGGAGGCGCATATTCTTCCCTCCGTACCCTCCCCTGCTCCTTCTCAGGAGCTGCGCTCTTGTAAACGTCTTTCATGTTTCTTGCTTGAATTGATAGCTTGTATTGACATATCACGCTGTACAACATAAACCTGGCCCTAAATTTTCGTTAACTTAAACATCGCTGAGTAATAAAAAAAAAAACATTAACTAGATAAAATACACTTTTATAATGTGAATAAAGCAACATAGTACCCATTACGAGCAAAGAAACTACGTTTATTTCTATTCCTGGCGAAGAGAAAACATATCACGTACGTTTTCCCATAGGAATACACAGGAAGACTGCAAAAGTAGACTGCTTGCTATCTGCTTCACTTTGCAACCGGAAGTAGCGTAGACACTATGGCCAGCTGAGCCTCTAGCGTTCATTGTAATAAATCTATGGTTGGGACAGCGAAAAGTCCCACAGGGAGGGTGCGCTCGATTGATCGAGGACGTCGGTTGCGCACTTGTGTACTTGATTGAGGACGAAGAGGCGCACCTCGGGGACCGGGTGTGCACCGGTACGGATGATCGAGGATGCTATAAATTTCACCGACTCACATGCAGCGCCGCCTGGTGGCGCGTGAAAAATAAAAAAAAAAGTATAAAACTTTCTCCTGTATGTTCACGGTGGCGGTCGAACCGGTGACGAATAAAATCTAATAATTAATTGGTATAGCATATTACAGGAATCAGCGTCAATACTACATTTTAACAGAATTTATTCATCAAATCAATTTTAAAATATAATCAACATATTTTAGCCAAAGCCCAGTATACAGAGAGTTTGGTCAATGAGAGGCGCGGGGGGAGGCAGGGCTGCACCAGACGCAGAAAGTGGGCTTGGCATGCTCTCTTGGCCAACCAGCGCAGGCCCTCGCGCCTTCCTCGAGGAAGTGGAGGGGCCCTTCAGATTCAGTGTAGTTTGAGTGAGGTTTCAGAAATCGGCGGTAAAAGAATCCCCTAAGGGTGGTAGCGAGAAACTGTTTTAATTAAAGGTATATGTTGGTATATGGCTTTAATAAGCATGTACGAGTGAAGTGTAGTAACCCTTCGTGGTTGAAAACAGGGTGCCCGTGATGATTCGATCATGATCATGCAGAAAGATGTAAGAAACGAATCCGCCGCTCAACTGTGTTTGGCTCGGACAGTGTGTGACCGCTCGGACAGCAGATTCCCGGTCCTCGGCGCTCGGCATGGGGATTATTTCGATCGTTCCGCTAGTCGCACTATTCCACCATGGTTTTGGATAACCGTGATTGAAACATCACGTGCACCGTATTTTCAGTCACCGAGAGTTACTCCGACGCACTTGTCAAGTTTTTTTTCTCGCGACCACCGCCTGGGTATTATTTCCGGCTTCTGATTTGCCACATCCGAATTTCCGAAAACGCCCTGGAACACGCCCAGCCTGCTTTCGGCCAGTGGCGCCTCCTTATTTGTCTCCTACACTTCCAAGCGAATGGCCAAACTCTCTACATATGGAGCTCTGATTTTAGCTAATTAATCTACTGTGGCTTTTCTGAAGGCGCTGAATTAGGAGATATAAACTATTCACTCGGAAAATTTAATATTCATGTTAGCAAATACAATATGGCTTCGCCGATACTGTAAACTCCTCCGGAAAGCCATGGGAGCGCGGTCGAACGCGAGAGTGGCGCCTCTAGAGGACTCGGAGTCTACGGAAGCAGACGTGGCGACGGATAGGTACAGGCTCCGCGACGTCCTCAAGCTTTGCGAGTCCCGTTTCGTCACCCCAACAGCTGAAACAATTAAATATGGTCAGTCCGCTTGCAAAGTGGAATCTACTCATCGCAACAGCAACGACAATCATGTAACAACGCGCGCAGAAACAAAGATCGAGCAGTTTATTTAGCGGTATCAAACGCCACTCAGGGGATCACACGCGTTTGAAGCGCGTCTGAGAAGCGGAAAAAGTGGTTAGCTACTTGAACTACGTCGTAAGGGTTTACTTACTGCTGATCCGTAACAAGCTGAGTTGTCGCAATGTCTTACTTGAATAGGTGATCCTCAAAACGTGCGCAAACAACATGCTACTATTACCGGAGCTAGCGCACCAGCCGTTGCAGCATAAAAACAAAACAAAAAGTAACGATAAAAAGGACCATGCAATCACTTTCGCACTTTGCAGGAAAGATTGGGTCACCATCCCAGACGAAAATAAAAATAAATGGGGCACAGTCGCGAACAACGGCGAATAAAACAATAAAGTTAGCAGACGACACAAAGATACAAATCACCCAGCAAAGAAACTCCCTCAACGACGACGATCGTTGCGCAGGTGGTGTTCGCCGTCGGCGTTGAGTCCACAACAAAGGGGAAATAACGCGATAAAACTAATAAAAAAAATCATAACTTTTTTTTTTAGCTGCTGTTACACGTTTTGGAAGGAACTAAAACAAAAAAAAGGGGGAAGGAATAACAGTCCAGCTCTCACTGCCCGTAAGTCGCACGCTGCAATTTGGGAGGTGCGAGCAGTGTGTGACCTTTTTTGCTTTCGTATTTCCTTTCGCAGTGACTTTGGCAGGTTTTTCGTTTGCTCGCTTGACGAACCAGTTCGAAAGTACATTCAAGTACTTGTTGACGTACGTGTCCAGGCAATCTTTTCACACCCCGCCTTTGTTTCGAGTGTCGATCAGCGGCCTCAAGTACGCCTTCAGCTGAACTTTTGTTTGGTGCAATATAGGATGGTTCAAGTCACCAGGCTTGATCTAAAATGGACC